GCCTGTTTTTTCCATTTTATTTGATGATAGTCACATATTATTATCATATATTGTAACTCTTGTTTTTAGTTTATTTAATGCTTCTTTACTGCAAAGATTACGCCATATATAAAAAGGTTCATAGTAGTCTCGTAGCTGTCTGCTCGGACACAGCATATGCATGAACTCAAGTAACACATACTTTTGTTTTGTTGCAAGTTGAAAGCCATCATTACTTAATTAGATTCATTTTTCGTCATCGGCGCGCTAATAGGTGTCTGCACGGTATTTTGGTCGTAATTAGCGGAGCACCTTAAATTAAGCTACGCAGGCTATTCTAGTGTCAGAAACAATCTGGTGCTTTGCCGAAACTTTGGTGAAAACTTCGATTAACTGAATTAAAACAACCAATAAGTTCTATGATGAATTAATTTTCAAGATTGGTAGCACGAAAGAAACTAAAATGAGCACAGATTAGTAATAATTTCAGAAATGTTGAGCATTCATAGATAAATAAAAATTACCAGTACCTCGTTCCGTAAGCTTTTATTGAGAAATGAATGAGTCGATTGAATTTTCGTATCACTATTTGTGGTCCACGTTTGTTGAAGCACAAAGTTTCTACGGTAAAATTTCATAGCTATATTATGTAATGTCTAATTTTTTTCAGTAAGATTGTCTTTGACATTTTTTCCCCAATGGAGCAATGAACGTGTATTACGTTTTGTGTCAACCGTATAGACTTTGCGGATGTTGTAGAAGATTTACGGAAACCAGATTTTTGTTTGAACGTTTAAAACCACCAAGTAAACGGGTGGTTTAAACGTTCGAAAGATGGATAGGGGTTCATCGAGAGCGACTTTCACCCTGAAAAGCCTCTAACAGCGATCACGGGCAAGAACGTGGAAGTAGTAAAATAAGCCGGGCCTTTCTGTTGCCTTATCACCATCAAAGAGCTAGCCGAAAGGATAAACACTTGGTTTATTGATTCATGTGAGGCCATTTCGATGACCATTTTGACCTCAAAGAGTTTACGGCTAACTTTGTGTCAGAATAGCAGAATGTCTAGCAGATGAACACCTGTAAAGTATTGTGTTGAGGAAATAATTTCGCATTTCTGGAAGAGCCAAACTTTCTTCAAAGCATCATTACGGGTGACCGCAAGTGGTTATAGAGCTGCGGCAAGACGATCCAGGGGTGATTTGTGGAGTATCGGTTCAAAAACGAACTTCGATCGAACCAAGTTGCACGATCTAGGGACTCCTCACGGTGTTTTTCGACCGTCGATGGATTGGTTATCATAAAATCATTTCATCCGGCTCCACGACGACCAAAAAAAAAGTACAGTTAAGCAGTTTGAAGAGGATTGCGCAAGTTTGTTTGACGAAAAAGACTAGAAGTGCGGTGCAACAAGTCCAGGATCTTCCACTATAACGATACGCTGGCTCACACTTCAGTAGTTATACAAGGGTTTTTGCAAGAAAACTCGACGTCCGAATCCCCGTAACCACTGGACTGAGCTTTCGGCAACTTTTCCTTTTTAAGTTCAACGTTCAAGTTTAACGTTTCTGTTAAAGAAAGAAGAAAAAGTATTGAGAAACGACCGAAAAAGTTAAACTATTACTAACTGAGCGATTGTATTTCAAAAGTGTTTTATCAGCTGAAAAAGAATAGGGACATATGTTGCATACATACATTACAGCTGGCGGGGAGTACTTCGAACGGGACAACTTGCATCAATATTATATATATATATATATATATATATATATATATAATTACTTACTATCAATCTGGAGCAAAAGAGTCGTTCATTTTTAAACAAAGTGTTAAACAAGAATCGTACATATATCTGTCATTCAAACACTACATGTATTTAAGGATAAGGCACGGAAACCTGGTTCTTATCTTACCTGAAAGTAATATATAGAAAATTTTTCTATATATATTATTACAAGGTGGAATAAAAGTAGGCTTTTGAGAGTTCGAAAAGAGTCTTCTGCCACACATGTGCTCCATAGATGCAAAATAAAATATCTAACTGTTAAACGGTTTTTTAAACCATCAAGAAACTTTTGCTTAACTTTATATTTTAAATAGAGCATTTAAAATGCAAAGTCGGCTTGTAAAACTGTGAGACACACAATTATCTATGGTTACAAAAAAATTTTAGGACACGTACGAAGAGGATCATTCGAACAACAAATTACCTCTATCGTCTCCTTTTAAAAGGTACTATTCTACCATGGGGCAAGGTTATCCGTGATTTTGCAATTGCTTCTGGTACGTTGAAGAATTATCCATCGATATTGTGTGTCCTCACCAAAAGGCACCAGTTTACTTAACGCTCCATTATTAAAGTAGCAGTCAGTTCAGCCCTTTAAAGTTACACGCATAATTTCACAGTTAATGTTTACGTTGTGACTCGCTTGGCGTCAATTGAATTTCTCAAAGGGCTGGTGAGGACAATTTTGATTCTTCCTTCCCTTTTACGCTTGACAGCCTCACAAAGATGACTTAACTGTGACGGCGCATTTAAATATTTTTTTTTTTTCTTTCGGAAAATTGATACTATTACGCAGATTAAATGATGCTCGTGGCTAATCGAAGGTACTATAGAAGAACTATTGAGATAACGTTCTCGGCTTCTCACTGTAGATGTCACAATCGCTTTCCGCTCAATTGTGTCGAGGCCGTCCGCTACCCCAGTGTCGATCCCAAAGGACAAGTGAGCTATCGAAAGCAAGTAACTTCTCTAACTCTGAAGGAGCTGTCGCCACAATTCTCTGAAGCTAGCAAGCTTTAATAGAAAATTCAATCTTGTACTTTGTCAGTTCAGGAGCCCTAACATATGTCTCCAATCTAGTAACGCATTTTAGGTTCATTTTGTACATAGAATATTAGGTAAACAGAAAGGTTGAAGATGGCAGAAAAGATCTCGACTTCAGGCGGAAAAAATCGAACAAAAGTAATGGTCATATCATAACAAACGTTGGCATCTAGGGGTTCCAGCACTTCAGTCGTGAATCGAAAAGTACCAAAGGTTGTATTTGCAAATTTATTATAGCTGCTTATTTTAGACGTCGTTCCGGCCTTAATTGGATTAGATAGCCAGTTTGAAACCTCCAGTAGCTAGTCAAGTCAACATGTACACGACTATATCTAGTACTATATGTTCTTTATTTAATATCAGTACATATTGTATAGTTATATAAGTTATGAAGGTTAACTTTGTTTCTATTAGATCGGTTTCCAATGTTTTCCTATCTCACATTAATCCCTATTCTGGAAGACATGATCCGCGTGAATAAACTATTTCTTATGCTTCGTGTAATTGCTTTAATTGTTGATACTTAGGAATGACACGAAATATCCATAGATATATCAAATACAAATATAGATAGATAGATAGATAATTGTCTCGATTGCTGGACCCATAGGGCTATGGAAGCGTTAGATGATAAAAGCTGTAAGATGTACGTAATGTAATCAAACTGCTCTATTTACATGTAATGTCGTGATCTTGAGGGGGGGGGCTTAATAAAAAAAAAGAAAAGGAAAAGAGGCAATTTTTGTATGATGCCCTCCGAGAAGTTCATCAAAATTAAGCGTGCATATACCGGATGCATTATGTAACATGGTTGATGGGTTGTTAAGCTGGTAATGACTATATGTTTGAAGGTCACTCTATGGTTCAAATGCCACGGCCTTGGATGGTGACTTGCTAGTCTTCTTGAATTAGGTAGATTCGAATACAAATAAATAATGCTTGTTGCCACATTTTGAGTTTGCGTATGATACATTCAAAATAATGGGTAATCTATCGAAAGAAAGCTTATTCCTAGAATATCCAAACTGTTTCTCAATTTGCATCGAGTATGTACTTACTTTATATAAATATTGTTATACACAAAACTAATAGACTGGTCGGTAAGTTAGCTCCGGGACAATTTTGATGCAACAAACGATGATAGGCGACAAAAAAGTGGTTTGACATAATATTTGTGGTGTCATATTTGATTTCATTGTCCATTTCTGTCAATTTGCACTAGGCTTCAATGATCGAAGTGTCGAGGTCCTATTTAAGGTCGATCTTGGAGTTTGTTTCTAGAAAAGGCTAAGTTCGATTCAAGGTCGTGAAGAAATTTGCGTTAATGCACGAACCTAACAGTATGTTATTATACTGTCAGAAAAATGCAGCTTGTTTTTAAAGTAATTGTTGCAGAACCATAGTAAACCATGTGCGGTTGGACCCTATCACTACTAGGACGCTGAAATTTTTACTGTGTACAGCAGCCGCTTTTTTAAATTGTCACACATTTTAAATTGTAGAAACATAGGAACGTCAACGTCGTCTGTTCAGGGATCCCTAACAAGTAACAATTACGTCAATTGTTGCTTAAGAGTTGACCGCTTACCAACATTTACACGACCGATTATTTTCTAGAATTGAATAAAAAGACAGTGATAGACGATCACTTACAATGACGTCATTTAGAGCAGATCGTAGTTAAAGAGGCAATACTGTCCGTTTAGTAGAATCATAGAAGAAATATCTTCTATGAGCTTCTTCCAAGGAACCTGAACGTTGTGAACAATTCGACTGATTATTTAAAACAAAACGGCCAAAAAATTTGCTTGCCTATGGCGAATAGAAACAGCGTACTGTTCAGTGATGACATCGCCAAATCCAAACATCCTTGATGATTTGCTAAAAGTTGTACGAATTTAAATGAGATGTTTTTACCTTACCGGTTTTGCAACTTTGACTTGTTTCTTCCGGCTGTTGTCCTTCCCGATCTTTGGGCGACTCTCCTAATAAAAAAAAAATCAATTTCTCTACAAAGTTTATCGTGAATAAAGATATTAATTTATGGAACATTATGCTAACAATGGACAATGCATCCTTGACTGAGTTTGTCTGGCAAAAATTGTTTTTATTCTAAATTAGTTACAATTCCATAATGGATCTACGCGATGACTGAATATCGTTTACCCCTATGACGAAATACACGCGACCTGCGAACTCTTTATTCGGAATCCGCTACCGCTAGGGCTCCGGACAAAAATATGAAGTTATTCTGTTATTTGCTGCGAGCGTCTTTTCAAGGGCGTCTTCTTTCCAAAGTTGGGACACTGTTCTAAAAGTTATGTCGGTTCGTCTTTAGATTTTGTATTTGCCTAGACTACGTTTTAGCTAAATCAATTTATTTCAGATAATAAAGGATAAAGTCAAAGCAGTAATACAGCACAAATGCATATGCATTTTTGAAAGACCGTTGAGAACACGCATAGCGTACTTACGAGATGTTGCCAAAGGCGTTATGACTTTGCTCCTACAGGGCAGTCATCGAACTTAGCGATAAATTCTTGCAAAGCTCCTTCGTGCGGGGTCACAAGTCTGCCCAGTTTGCGACCCCCCTGGAAACAACATGTAAAATAAAACCTTTCAGCGTCAAACACAACGAAGTTGTGAATATATCCATATCCATTACATTCCTCTTCAGCATTATATAACAGCACAGCGTTCATAGAGCATCGCTATGCTCAGCTATTACAAGCGTAACGACAATGACCGTAAATCTGAATTATAATGATTTATAGAATAGTACTGTGAATGATCAATAAACGATCAGTCATTTATCTGAAAGCCGTCACTGGCCGGCAACTACTCACAAAGGCGCCAACCTCTTAAGAAGTGCTTCACTAGTGAAGCTCGCTGCGTGACTACTACTACTACTACTACTACTACGACTCTATGCTGTCAACCGTATCGGTGCGCTGCTGGGCCAGGCTGAGCTAACAAAGCAATACCTCGCCACAAAACACTCGAAGTGCATAAAATATACCGTAAACTTTGAGAACTCGACATCAAAGCCAGCTTGGCGAACTATATTCTCTAAGCATCCACTGTAACATTTCTATATGTATATGAAACAAAAAAAAACGATTGTTATCATCTCAGCTGTAACGAATCATTTTCAACGGTTGTTTTGCCTAATTAACACGCTGGCAGCGCCATTCTCTATGTGTGTGTACGTTTTTAAAAGTATGATTTGAAAGAAACGCGTCTACGATTACGCTAACTGGCGTGACAGTAGTAGTAGTATGAATATTAGACGAGGCTATCTGTGACAGTAACATCAAGCTAGCAAATACTCATGAAATTTTCAGTAACGATATGGACGGTACAATGCGATGCAAATAGAATATGTATATAATATTAGATATTTAGTTGTCATTAACAAAGTTAAGCCTTTTATTCATTGACATTGGACATGTCGTACTTGTGCAGGACGCAACGACACTTGTTATGTTTACCTTGCTTACGTCACCTGAGTAAACGTTTAGAGGACTAGAGCGGCAGGGTACCGAACCTGATTAAACTAGAAACAGGAACTGATATATTAAATTCTGAGTCTGACGCAAACATTGGAATAGGCGTTCGCGAAAGCCTGCAGATGCATGAACGCCAATGTTGATGGATCGATTTCAGTTCTCATTATTAAGCTATTGAATTATTCAAAATCTTACGGACAATGTGAACGTGCGCGTTATTCCGGACGTCTGTGTTCAGGACCTATTAAGATTAACTGCTGTTCTGCTAGTAAATATTCGAGAATTATCACAGTGTAGAATGGAAAAGATTTCAAATCGTGGAACGTTTTTTCACTGAGTTTTTTCGCACTTGTATTTTTCTTTTTTTGTTTTTAGAAGATTTCACTTCTGAATAAACGTAAATGAAAAGCTATCAGAATTCAAGGTGCAGCTTGTTAGCCGTGTTTTGGGCATTTGTATCCGGTAAGCATTTCATACCTTTGAAAAAGCTTGATATATAGGACATCCTGATATATATATACCTTGAATACTATGAAAGTTGGCAACGACTGGACACGGTGCTCCTCCACGGCCGATTCCTCTAACAGGTCAACATCCGCCTCGATAGTTACGAAGAGTTGAAAAAGGGCCATAGGTACACAGCACAACCAGACACGTATATTGTATGCGTCTGATACGCAAATGCGATCTAGAAAGACTGCTAGAGAATTCCTGAATTGTTATTTTGATATTGCCACGTTAGTATCTATGGCGTCTGTAAATAAGCTTAGCAACTTCTCAATTGTCATTCACCTTTAATACGCTTGAAAAAAGAGCTATGAAGCATACTGGACCAATAGTATACCACTTTTCCTGGCATGCAGTCCACAATATATAACTATTCGTACCTTAACGAATAAACACCTTGGATGACGTTCGCTAAGTTGTTCGAAAATAGGCCCGAGTAACCTGCAAGGACCGCACCACTGCGCAAAAAAGTATAGAAATACGACGGTCGTTCCGGTTTTTTCAGTCAGCTCAGCTAGGTGTCTATTGTTATCTATACAGTGGACAGCCATCTCAGACCCTTCGTTAGCCTCTGCGATAGCTGCAATACAACAAAATGTCACATCTTCCAGATGAGCGATAGTCTTCAACGCATGCCGAATAGAGGTTTGCGGCGAAAATCTCTTCACCCACTGGATTTTTCTGCTAATTGATGCTGCACGATGACCGGATCGTTGAACATACATATTTTTATGTGAATCGTTTGCGTGCGCGTTCCATTACGCTGTATGTTAGCTCGTCTACACAATAAATATCGAGGTAAATATTTCTCAGTAAAAATCCCTTCATTTCTCTCTGAGCCGGGGGGTGCACTTAGTACTCATAATAACAGTAGAGCGATATGGGCTATAATATTGTATATAGTAGACTTTTCCAACGACGTCTAGTGAGCATAGCTGTACGTTTGTCGAAATGCTCCTCCTAATAATCGCTCTTTCTTACTTATGTAAGATCGCACAAAGGAGCCTATTTTGTGCGCACACAATCGGTGCACACAAAACTTGGACACAGAGAAGTAAAGCTTATTTCGGTAGAGAACCGAAAGTTCCTCATGACGATTCGGGTCATTTCTCTGTTGAGGCGCGTAAATGCAGAAAGTCTGCAAAGACTGCCGGCAGATTTGCGAAAGTGACACGCAAAGCCTAATAATACGCAAGACCGTAAAAAGGAACGATTATAGTTTATGGCTTTTCTTGAATGAATTAGTGTGTCCTAATTTTCGGAAGAAGCTCTTCGCTTTTCTAAGCCATCTCAAAAGAATTGTAGTTGATCTGATTGGCTTAAGCATCTTTGTGTTCCTTTGTATCACCTAAGCAAGTTGATGTAGAAACTAGCATTAAAAGGAAGGGTTAACAGTTGAGCGAAAATAAAAATAAATATGTTAACATGTAGATACTTATACACGGCTCAATGTTCGTTAACGTCTAAATTTTGTGAAGAGCCTTGGAAATGACCTGTTTCTCCCTCTATATTTTAACCACGGCCAACTTTGACAATAGAACGAAAAGATCACACCTAACAGTCATTGACACGTACGCAGTAGGATGCACTGTTCCAGATCTCTAGACAATGCACCAATCTATTAACGAGCGCCGCGAACAAGTTACAGATACGTATGAATGGTTAACGTAGCACTTTCGAGCATTCCCTACTATCTGATCAACGTTGCACCGTGCCAAGCAAGAATGCAATAGTTGAAAATAATAACAATCATTAATTGAATAATAACAATTGAATAAACAACTACTAGCACATGATTTGTTACTTTCGCTTGGAAAGAACTAGTCTTTCAGAAGTATATATCATCTACTTTTGGTACTCGATGCATTAAGCCAACGGACTGGTAAAATTGAAATGTGTATTTGACTTTGCGTGATGTATAACGTCTCTGTTAGGCAGAGTGCCTGTGAACCCTAATTAGGACACACGTCATCTTGTTGATCGCCTGCATTAACTCGGGTTTTTGCCTATCTTATGATTACTCACAGCTTGAAAGTCCAGTGTACAATGCTGCAGACAAGTACTGTCTATCCAGTAACATAAATAGTCGACTTTGTCTTCGATGTTTCCCCTCTCGCAGTAGCCAAGATTTAAGCAAGTGTGCAGCGATCTGTCGAGAGTGAGAGCGATATGTGACCTTTATTAACAAGTCAGTTGCCATCATTGCTTACCATAATGTTTCATCATCTTTATTATTTATATACTAAATACATTTCGTGTGCTTGATTCGAGTTCTGCGAAGAAAACCAATAGGCCTTTTCTACTAATTATTATTTTTCACACTACGACCTTTTCATTATATCAGACCTATATTACATATCTAATTAATATACTCAATCTATTGATCGATAGCTGCCGCAACTAATATATAATTCTATTCATAGTTTGACTAACAAAATCCACGGATAGCTCGATGGAGGACAAAGGGCTTACATATTTATCATAAAAATTCGATGTACTGAAGAAGATCAAATTTTCCGCTCCGCAAAGGTCTAGAATTTCAACCCTTCGAAATGGAACCTTTCGTAATACGTCGAAAGGTCACTTAGTCGGAGACGACCAACGCTCCAAATTGAAGACGGAAAAAACAGCACAAGAAACCAGCGCAGCCGTATGCCCATCTGCAAACTATATACACGTGAGCCTTGAACAGCAGAAGGATTTCGATTTGTAAAAATCTGTCGGTTTTTCTGTCGAAAAAAAAAATGGTCGACAGATGAATTGGAATGCGGTGGACATAGACAATCGTAGGTAGCGCTCACTGCCGTTACTTTTCATTTTTCCACAAAAAAAAAGATAGCTTTGATTGTATTTTGCTGTGTCTTGTGAATCAATGTTCCCTCAGCTCACGGTACCCTGTAACCACTTCGAATATTGCGTCCGTTTTTTGTGGGACTAGCTTGAGCCTGTGATGGCGTCGTATGTCTGCAAGAGCAACATTACCGAAAGTTTGTAGTAGCCCTTCTGTCTGCTAGGTAAGGATAATGATATACTGAATGACTTGTACATACAGTTGCCAATTGATTGTCAGTGAGACAAGGTTGCAGTGCGGTAACACGTTATACAAACATAGCAGACCGGGCTGGTTTGTGATTTCATTTATGGTTTGTGGTTTCATGAATGTTTCGCCGATGCTGGTGCCAATGCGCTCATTTTTGTCAATGTTACAAATACGCCACTGGGGTTATTATAAGATGGGTTTTCACTCCGTGTTTTATCACGAAAAATGTTTCCAGCTATTGAATTCTCTGAATAACAGTAAACTGGACTGCGAATGACGTTCGTACAGGAAGACTTTAAAAAAGTAGAACATATAACAAGGAGCTGGTTTTCCGCCTTTGCCTTTCCTTGCAGTGCTTTATGATGCGACAGATCTATTCTACGCGGAAGATCGTACGCAGGTGCTAAATAATTATAGATAGATTGGTTAGATTTAGACGAACCATTTGAGAGATAAGTTGTACTTCCCTGATATACGTTATTATACCTAGTTTGGTTCGCAATAAGTAGGAATTGATACTTTTCTCTAATTTAACTAGAACAATAAAGAAAATTACGGAATAAGATAGGTAAGTTCTGTTCTTTTAGATTCGAGTAACGCATTAAAGGCAGTCCTCAAGATCTTCAAAAATGTAGTCAGTACATTACGTGAAACGTGCGAATGACGCAATAAATTTCTCGAACGTTTTTTATTCACCAGGAACGAAGATTTACAAGTATTAAGTGTTGGGTCCCCCACGTCTGCGTCTGCAGGTAAGTCAATTTCTAGCTGCTATACACGTGCGCAGCTCAATATAGGAAAACGCATCCTTTCGAAGGAAGGATTCATTGTATTGTATTATTGAATACACGATCTACTTTCTAATAAAGAACATTAGTCGAGAGTCATTGCTAACCGTAGGTCTGCCTTCTCCTATTGGCCCCAGTGATCGAAGCGATTATCGTCAGCGGGTCAATCGTGCGCAATTTGTATATCAATGCCCCCAATAAAATGCAAGCATATCTGACAACGACCTATCCAATATGCGCACAGATATATGAGAATTTACGCCGAACAGTAAATTAAACTACATGACATTAAGTGAGACTACGGAGCAGGACTATCATAAATCTCTTGAAAAAAAGCGAAACACTGAATAGGGTTTGTATTCTAAGTTGCTGAGCTGATTTCTAAGTATTTTGTTGCTTAGGCGATAGGCGCGCTTTGGCGGTCTCTTCCGTTGACTGACGTTGTAATATACCCGGTCAAATAAATAGTGACAATAGAAAGAAATCGACATGTAAGTATTCGATCTGGAAGCCGAATTTCTTATGATTATAATTCAAATGGTCCTGGCCCTTTGAAGAAATTCAGCGCAGGAAGTTAGCTGAGTATTTATCAACTCAAGGCCCTATGTAAAACTCGTCGTGGAGATTATGTGGACCTGCAGATACCAATATCAACGTAGTCACGTTTTTGCGTACGCACGAGTCAGTTCCTACTAAACTCTTTGAAGGTAAATCAAGCCGTCATACGAAGTTCGCTTTCAGGATGCGCAAACTTCCAGTTCTGAGAAGAGCCATTCTACCGTAGAGCCAATATTTCAAGGATCAATATGTAACTTCTGTGCTGTGGAAGTCCAGTTAAAAATGCACTTGAGGATTTATTGGAATCGGGCAAAAACGTCCATCTATGTTATTTTCGACACGATGGAAAATACTGCAGGATCTTAAATCTTAACAAATGTTTGTAAACCTACAAGCCGACGCAATGAACCTCGCATGGCTAGTAATAGTAAAAATGCTTTTTGAAAAAAAAACGAGATTCTACCTGCTATAGTCACAAAGGACATGCTAAAATGTCAAAACTCACAGTATTTCATAGTCGGAGTTGCCTGTCTAAGCAATTATAGGAGATTCGACGTAAAGTTAGATATATGATGGTGGTTAGTTCGAGTTTCCAAACCCCTTAGTCTTTCTTGTCTACAAAAACGATCTAAATATGGATTGCGAAGATAGACACCTAACGCCACATACAGTCTTATTCTATAGGATTATATTTGTCTTAATATTATGAAGCGGCTCTTTCAGTCAAGTTTGCGATGTGGCTGCAACAAAATAGGGTATATATTGCATCTTTGACCATATTCTGAATTACCCATGGACAATGCAGGCCCTATTGAATAAAAAGTGTTTTCGCTAAATAAAAACTTTTTCGTGTTTTTCTATTTCTGTTGGGTTTACGTTAGAAATGACGTAGCGCTATTTAAGGGCCTCGAATCGCCTCTTAACTTAAAAATCAAATAAACCTATATACTATCTTAAATTACTTCTTTGGCTCAATGTTTTTGTGCGAAGTTCGTAGGCTATAATTTGAACTGCGCGATTATTGAGATACGATTTGTCCTTTTGTTATGGTAGCTTTGTTATCAAGATCTGCTGCTCCATTTCTTAAAAGCTGCATATTTTTCTAAATATTTCCAATGAGACACGTCTAGCCCATTGCTGCGATTCATTGTGCGAGGTGGAATAAAGGTGTCTATCCATGTTTAAGTGATCTTTCGTATGAATTCATTTAGTGTTTAGGGTTTTTTCTGTCTAAAAAATCAAGAAGCTTAATAGATGTTCTGGGTCGTTAAGTATTCCTTTAGACGATCTATTCCTGGCGCAAAACAGAGTGTGTCAGTCGATGACTGATTTCGAACTTAGACGATCT